CGGTGCCGCTTTACGGCTTGGGCCTGCCGTACCCCTGTACAGGTGAGGATGCTGCCAGGATCCCCGGTGTGAGTGCCTGCATCAGCTGGCACAGAGGGGTGCTAACTCGCCTCATCCTCACCTAGCAGGACACACGAACCAGAGGGATCGCTGCTTCCGCCCAGCTGAGCCTGCCCACCACCCAGCAAACCCAGCCTGACAACAGCAGCTGAACCCACCCCGTGAGCTGACAGCAAAGGCGCTCCAGGCTGGGCACTGGGCAGAGCCGGATGGCACCGCGTGCAGAGGGAAATTCAAGTTGTAGGCACACTGGATCACACGGGCGTCCTGGAAGGAACCTGCAACAGAAGAACCTCTCACCAGCCGCTCGGTGGGCGCAGCCGGGTGTGCTCACGCCGAGGCTCAGCGGAGCTCCTTCCATGCTACGTGTCCTGCTCTGCCTGTCACTCACCCTGGTGGGGCATCACGGCGTAGGAGAACTGGTGGTGGGCGATGTCTGCCGTGGCATCGGGGGACTTGGGCGCTCTCAGCCTAAGGCGGCGAGAGGGAGGTGAGGCTCTCGGTGGCATCTTCTGCCAGCCCAAGCCTGACGCTGTCCCCCTGCCACCCGGTCCAGAGCACTGTGACGAGATGACTGCCTCCCCCCACTACGTCGAGGCTGGGCCCCGAGGTGGGAGCCGACATGCTGCTGGTTTCTGGCAACAGCAAACAGACCCTGGACAGTCCCAGAAGCTAAAATCGACCTTTGAAGGATGTTTTCCTGTGAAACTTATGGCTGCTGGAGTCAAACTGAAACACACAGTTTCTCTCAGCTTTGTACGCATCCGTAACATTGCCGTTCCTTTCCTTTCCTCAAGTCTCCCCTCCTGGGGTATGTTTTGGCCAGCAACAGAAACACTACTTGGTGCAAACGTTCTCCTGAATTACCTATGAGCATTACTCACAGGAATTACATTATCTTAGTCAACTGTAATTAAGTCAGCCAGAAGTCCTCAGGTGACAGCCAGCCATCAGACTATTGCCTTATTAACTATGATCCTTCAGGACCCAGCGTTGCCTCGGCCTCCAAGGGATGCCTCAGGCGGCCAGGGGACCGCTGCAGCTCCACCCCTGCTCCAACCCCACTCACAGCGAGAGGCTGAGGATGTTCCCATGGGCTGATGCCCCGTATTTGCAGTCATTCAGCAGTGCCACCCCGAAGCCGTGCTCGGAGAGATCGAGCCACTTGTGGACCCACACCTGCAGGAGGTACCAAGGGACGTATTCACCACACAGAGCTCCTGCCTGGGAGCAAAGGTAGCCCCCAGGCCACCCTTCCTCTCACCTCGAACCGGGCCCAGTCCCAGGACGTGTTCCAGTGCGTCGGCCGCTGCAGGTGTCCAAACTGGATCTCGTAGGTGGCGTTGGTGCTCCGGACTTGCACGGGGAACTCCACCTTGAGGAACTTGTGAGCCTCCTTCCACTCAACCTAAATGCGGTAGCGGAACATCATCATCACAGGGGCTGACAGGCAGGGGCTGCGCTCGTCCCTCCCCAGCTTGCACCCAGACCAGACCAGGTACAAGAAAACCATACTAGAGTCTGAACACAGAGGAAGTGGTGAGTTCCTCTTCCACCTTGGCCCTCAGAACCCCCACCCTTGGGCTGCCTCCCCCTAAGACAGAGGAGGACAGGCAGTGAGGGGCTCTGGGGAGGAAACAGGAGGGAGAACGTAATTCAGGTGCAAGATTCAGCTCCCCAGGGCCCTGCCTGCACAGCACAGATGTCCGTATCGCACGGCAGCTGCTGGACAGACCTGGGTCTGGAAGCGGAGGTACGGGCACATGGCATCCAGGATGATCTCCTGGGTTAAGGTGCTGCTTTCCCCGATCCGCAGGGAGAAGCTCGCACTTCCCCGCAGGCCCCCAGCCAGGGTGATTTCCAGAGGCTTCAGCAGCGTTGTCACTGGCTTCCTAGAGAAAGGGATAAAGGCAGAGCTGGTCTCAGCCTGGTAGATCCAGGTCCCCAGATCCCAATCCGGCCTCCTGCATGGGAGGCACCCAGTTCTCCAGAGCGAATGTTCTGTTACAGCTTTTGTTACAGCTAGGACCGATGGGAGGCAAGAACCTCAGAGCACAGACAAAATCCAAGTGCTGCAGGCACCGCTCT